TGCATTAGCTGAGCTGCTGCTTGACAGCTCCGTACCTCCATCAGGTATGTCGCTGACAGAGCCAATGCTGTTCTCGGTAAAAGGAGGAGTTGTTCGCGGCTGTCTCAGCGGCTCTCTTTGGTTGAAGAGCGGGGTCTTGCTGTCAGCGTCCCCAGCGCCTGTCATGAGTCCGGGGTCTGCTGGAAAATTACGGGATCTCCCTGCTCCGGGAGCTCGATCGAAATTCTCGTTCATGACTGCTCGGTGTCAGCCTCGGCTCTTAATACAGCATCTGATATAAACGAAGATGTTCCGGTCGCCCTTCCAGCTGCCGTTTTCCGTGCGTAGCGGCAAGTGCTTGTGTTTTTTTGTTGGTTTTTTTTTTACTGTAAAACGCGTCCTATCTCGCTTTCATGGTGGCCTTTTCTCTATCGGATAGTATCAGTGTGTAATGCTACATAACTTTTTCGGCCACTTCCTTTAACAACAAACTTGCTGTCACTGATTATCCAGAATTAAAAAAATCTGCCTCCCTCTAGTGGCACGGAGTGGAAGTGGGCGCTGAAATAAATACCGTCTTGCACGGGATCGTTTAACGCTTAAACACAGTAATGTATTTTTTGAATGGATTACTGCACAAAGGCCTTGAAACGTATATTTAACATTTATGGAACATCTGCAAATTTAAATGAAAATCCATTATATGAGAAAAACTAAATTCGCACAACTCTGCTTGGAATATATATTTATTTATTATTTCAATATTTGGCACCACCAGCTGTATTCTTCACACAACACGAACGCTCTTAAGCAAGACTTCTTTAAGTGTTCTTTAGGAATATTTCTCCAGACTTCATGATGGATTTTCAAAGCTAGAAGCATTTGGGGGTCATCGTCATCCTAAAAATGGAGCCGCTGCCAATCAGAGGCTTTTCAGTTGATATGTTCCTTTTTGGTCTTCCTCTTTACATATTGATGACAATTTAAAGGACAATTTCAACTTTTGGATTTATTACTCCATCAGATCTGTTGGACATGCCTGAACCGTCTCTCCCAGTTTCACCTTCTTAAGAATGTGCTCCAGAAAGCACCAAGACCATTGCTGATGAGGCTTCGATGAGCAGTATTTGGATCAACTGAAGGGCCAGATGGATCACTTTGTTCCTGTGTCAGGTCTTTGCTGGATTTTTCCTGGTTTCTTAATTACCCGATTTTCAGACGCTTTTCATCTGCTCTAGAATTATCATATGTTATTTATCCCTTCTTTCATCCTCCACTTGTCAAGTTTTGTTAAATTTTGTAAGGATTATTAATGTTAGCATTAGTAGCAGTAGTAATAGGAGTTACAAAGACAAACTCGTTCAAATGCAGATATTTATACAAAATTTTAAATATGATAATCTCCTTGTAAGGAAGACTCCCCCCTTCCTACAATTATTTGTATTAAGTTGTACAGCACTTTAGGACTACCTTTCACTTTATTAAAAACACCTTAACTTGCACTTTATTTAGCGTCGCATTTTAAGCACATCAATAACATTTGCATACAAGAAGTTTAATTATTTATTGAATATTTGAGTATTTTAATAATTAGCCAGTAGACTTTGTTCCAGGTCCTGCACAGCTGCTCCTCATCAAGAAATGTGGTGGTTGTCTGTGAGGAGAAAAGAATTGTTACTAAGCAAAAGGTAAGGAGAACTAACGCAAATGTGTGCAAGGTCTAGAGGTAAAGGCGGTACAAAGAAGTGACTTACAGAGATGTGATGACTCACCTTCCCTTCCTCTGTGCTCTCCAGGATGTTTGGGCAAATGTTTCCCCAGGTGTCCAGATACCAGTTAAAGGTACCAGGAGAGGCCATTGGTCAAGGGAGTGTGGGGAATCTTTGATCTTGGGGTTTTGGTGTTTCTATAATAATGGTAAGGTTTAAGGGTAAAATGTAAAATATTTATTCATTTACATATTCAATACATATTCAAAATGTATGTCTATATGTATTTATTGAAATTGATGATATAATGTGGTGGAAGGTTGGGATTTGAGAACTCACCTGTTAATGGAATAATGGTTTAGCCTGTGACAGCTGAGAGTATTTAAGGCTGCCAGCTGCCGTAAGACAGGGTGATTGTTTTGTGAGAAGGCGTAACATATGAGTGATTGTCATGTCCTGAGAGCTATATGGTGAAAAAATACCTCTCACTGTAAATCCAGCTGTGAAAGGCTGCCCTGTTATACTCCTCATATATGATGGATTGAAAACTCTGACAAAACTTACAAAGAGCTGCATATGGTTTTAGTTAGACTACAGTTTTTTTTTAAATTTCATTTCAAATGACAAAAATGTTTTGTCACGCTTTGTTTTAGTTTTCAGTTTAATTCTAGTTAACAGTGAAAATGTTAGTAGAGGGAGTAATCATATTATTTGCTTATATTTGTAATAAAATGAACACAATATACTACCAGTATATTAATGTGACCATGACAAAAATGCTAACAAATTATAGGAGAAATCTTCGCATTCATAAGCGATTATGCTTTTGAATGTAGAGGTGCACACTGTCCAATTTGTTGTACGAAAATTGGACATGTTTTCTTTTTATACTAAAAGAAGGATTGTGTGAAATATGAATATCTTTTAACTTTTTTCCATCAGATTTGATATGTACTGAAAAAAAATCCACATCAGGCTTCAAGTTCCACGACAAATTCTTTTTCTGATAATTACCAGGAATTCAGGTGATGATGTTTGAAATTTCGTAGACATTAATTAATTATCTATAATTAGTTGCAGTTTTGTTTTCGGCATCAGTTGCATTTAGAGAAAAAATGTTTCCAAAACTTTGTATGAAAATTTTCATTGCACATAAACTCATGCTTGGTTTGTTTGTTTGTTTGTTTTAAAAAAAAAGACTATCTCCAAATAAATACTGAGGTCACAACGTGGTTGTCTGCACACAATAAGCACGTGCTGAAGGGCCTCATGTTGATCTAAAATGCTAGAAAATTATTTATCCATCTCAGAGGAAAGAGGAAAGGCTGTGAACCTGAACAACCCCCTCAGTAGTGCCTCTCCCAAGCTCACTCAGTAGCTGCCCGCTGCAAACATGTGTTCTACCAGACATCTCGGTGTAAGTATTCATTAGTTGTTTTAGCCTCCAGTCATTTTCCACTTGTTTCTCAAAGCTGGATCACATTATTCCACAGAGAATTCCAGTGCCAGAAATGCAGAGACCTGCTTTGATAGAAGATTACTGTGCCTATTTTGTGTTATTGCCGTTTTTTTTCCCTCGCCGTGCCAGTGTTTTGGAGAGAGTTCAAACATTCACAAGGGAATGCAGAAGATGACAAATGAATTGGATTTGTGTGTGTTTGTGTGTGGGTAAGTCAGTGGGGGTTGGGGTCAGCAGTACACATTATGTAGGTCAAATCCTCTGTTATTTATTTGACTTCATCTTTATCTCCTCATGCACAGCAATTAAGGACAAATCAAGAAAGAAAATGCTACTGTATGTGGTGTCATTAAACTCCTAGTGCATATCCGTGCTTTAGTTCTTATAAAGAAATATGGTTTGAGTCAATTCAGAATCACCTTTAAAACATTTGAAGTCTTTGGATGAAGTTGGGGATCAAGACATGTATGTATTTGTATTTGTTCAAAAGTTGCACCCTAATTTCACCTTCTTAATCTTTATTTTTAGGTAACATTTATAGTTTATCTTCAAGACACTATTGTGAGTCTGGCTTCAGAGGTTCAATAGTCACACCATATTGCTCAATTAACCTGTGAGAGCACACAGGGCCGTGCAGGGTGCAGAGATGTGCTCGGTTGGTCTTTACTGGTGGAATGCACCGCAGCATTCCTCAGTATAAATCACTCAGCGCAGTAACAGCCATTAAAGGACAATATACTAAGGCTATAGATCAGACCGCCTTTGTTGTTTTCACTCCTTCCGGTCTCTTTTCACACACCAAGCTGAATGAATTTAGGACTGAAGACAAAGGAAAACTTCTGAAGCCTTTCTCTCAGCTGTCTTCCTATAATCTTCCAATTTCTGATGCCCATCCAGAGATAGTTGTTTTAAAAGGCAGGATAAGAGAACACAAGGTCCGGAAGCCTGTGGTGTTAATGCTCTTCCTATGTTCTTTTGATCTGGGATTGAGGCAGCTGCCATTGATTAGTGTGTTTATGATTAGTGTGTAGATGATTACTGAAGGAAGTGGGTGGTCAGGCACAGGTCATATATTTTTTATGCACTTCTTTTGTATTTCTTTTCTTACATGGATACATTCAGATCCTCTTCCAAAGCCCATGCAAACCCATGGGCAGCATTTTTTATATTCATAACCAGCTATCTTTACCAAGCAAGTCTTTTTGCAGTTGGAGAAGGTTGCAGCTTCCACAGTAATGGTCTGATATTAGAAAATGATGTCAACATCTACAGTCCATACCAGGGGAGTTTCCCCCCTCCCATTTTGTTGTGGTTGGTCTTGTGTTTTCAGTTTGTTTGTGCACTAATCATTAGTGCAATGGTTGCCACATGGTATATCTGGCTAGGAATTAATGGTTGCCTTTTGTCCCTTCTTTCCTACCTCAGAGACCCAGATAAGAATACCATGACTTGAACGTTTACCAGGGTCTCTCAGTACTTCTGGTAAACCTTACCATTTTTACTGCACTTCTCCCAGTCTTTGGAGTACCACAGAGGAACGTTCACTGCATTGCAGGGGAGAAATGGTACTTTTATTTTTCACATAATAGAGTTCTTATAAAACAAAAAGAATTCAAAGAAATGCTTGTGTTCCCCTTCAGTTAAATATTTCACAAAATAAATAAATCATTACAATTCAGGCAAAAACACAGTGGTTAAGTATCGAACATTTGCTTTAAATGTGTTCTATCCTTTATTATTTCCTGCTGCCGTGATAAACGGACTCACTGATTGTTTCCCACATCCTGAACATTTTCTGTTCTGTTTATGTGTCTCACAGGAGAATATGGATATAAATAACATCTTGAGATAATTCTGCATCTACTACAGTTTATTTAGTGAAACAGTAGCTTCGGTTGTGTCCACATCACACACTTAGTCCAGCTGCAAACTGTTTGGCACAGACAAAAAAAAAAAGGAAAAAAAAGAATAAGCATTGCATCTGTGCCAGTGAAAACACAGGTAACACCATCTCCCAGAAAAGAAGAGACCACTTGTATGCATGACAGTGTTAGGCCTTTTTCTTTTAAAATCAAATGAGAGATTTCTCACTTTTCAGAGTTATAAACCTCACATTTTCAGAGTTTCATATTGTCCCTCTCCAGCCGAGTGCACAGGTTCACACAACAGTTGGAAGAAAATGTGTGGCTGTGTTCTTCCTTCGGGTTTTCTTTCCTCTCATCGGCTTCCCCTGGCCGTTCAGACCCACAAACATCTGTCGCTTCCCATGCTTCCACTTGGCTGATGCGTACGTGTTGTAGCCGTTCTCCTCAATCCGCTCCTTCAGGGTGCAGTCGACACCAAACTCTCTCTGTAAAAAAGCAGGTATCATGTTGCAGTGTTATAGACTTAGCGTGTGAGGTTAAGACAAAACGCAGATTATTATCTTGTGCAAAATGCATTGTTGTCTGAGTGCCTATTTACTACTTCCGAATCTACATTGCATGCTTTTCTGTGTGGGTGATTTGTGCGCGTTTTTAAAGCTGCATAGTTTTCTCAGTGGTTCACATGTGTGCACTGGTCTGGTTGTGATTCAGAGTTGACCCAGCAGTTGTAGAACTATAGATAAGGCTTCCTTTGATAAGGACTGAAGAAGCTAACACTAGCTCTCTCTCTCTGGAGCTTCCAGATTGACCTCTGACTCGGATACTAACCGCTCCGTACAGCTCTCCTTTCTTGCTGATAGCCAGATAGAAGTTGCTGCTTAGCCCTTTGATGGCCACCACTCCCACGTCCACTGATGTGATTTCCAGAATACCTAGGGATCAGCAAAAAGAAGGTGACATTAATATGTGTCAACATTAATAGTAGGCATGCTATTATGTCATGAACAACTGAATAAATGCTGTGGAGCAGAGCATAGAAGAATTAACACTCTGGCAGCAGTCACAAACCACCCACATGAAGTGCAGATATAAACCTGGAGGAATCCACAGGTTTTTCAGTAATAGTATAATGAGTACCAGCATTTGTATTCTGTGACATTTACATGGGGAATGTGTGGGATTTCTGTGCAAGGTTACAATTATTCTTGGGCACATTTCTCATTTCTGATATTTTAAAGTTCCTTTACAGCCTACACCTGTATAAAAGATTCCAGCTGCTCAGGTCATTTAGTCTGAAGATTAATGGGTGGATTCCCCCCGGAGATTTCTCGGGTTGTTTATGTTGAGTTTGGTATTTAGCTTTCCAGGTCCCTGTGCAAATACGTCAGGTTTATTGTAAACTATTAGGGGAGGTTAATTTATACCTCAGCTAAAATGGATGTGTTTTTGCTGTAGACAGCTGTTGTTATTTGTGTGGTCTCGGTATCAAAGGTCGGAGAGCTATAACTTCCTAATGTGTCCTTTGACCACAGAACCCACTTGTCTCATCTCATGCCGGTGTGTGTGTGTGTGTGTGTGTGTGTTAGTGAACCCCACTGTTTCCCATGGGATGTTTGATTTCATGCCGCCCTCCCTACCTTCCTTTTCCCACTTCCTGTGAGCTGTTGTCATTTTACCCCAATTAACACCCATATGTGTATGTGCACACACACACACAGAGTGGGGGCGTGAACTCCAGAAAGTCAACGACATCCTTTGATCAGACCAGGGGCCCCTCCTCTGTCTGATGACTGTTTGTGTGGCACCCTGCTCTACTGTCAGACTCGCTCCAAAGGGGCTGGGGGGGGGGGGGGGGGGGATTGGAGGCTGCCAGCCTTGGACCTGAGTGGACAGCGGAGGATGCAGGTGTGCCCAAAAGAACAATCCCTCTGTTAAATATACAGCAGCTTCTCTCCTCGTCCGTGAGGTCTTGACTGTATCAATTTCTAGTTCAAACAGCGGCACCTCAGGGCAGTGAGGTCTGAAGCTGCAAGGCGGTGTTGGGGACTGTGACACAACGGTCATTGAAGATCTGAGAAGAGCTGGTTTCTGTATGGGATCGGATGTCGGGTATGGAGTGAGGATGTAAGACAATCTATGGCAGTCTCTGGCTGCTCTGTAAACATGGGAGTGATGAAAGGAAGGAGAACAGAGGAGGACAGAGGAGCCATGACAGTGAGACTGGGGGTGGAGTGAGGATTAGAAAGGCTGTAATGATCACTGATCAAAGTAAGCCACCGGAGGCAGGGGCGAGACAGGTTGTATATACACACATGCACTAATGCACTCTCTCACTCACTAACTCACTCACACACACGGAAAAGCACACACATACACACACATACACATATATATGCACAGTTGTTTTGAAGCAGGTGAATGTGCACTTGCATATAACACACTAACTCAGCTTGGCTGTGAAACTACTACAAAATCTCCCTACACTGCTCTGTGCTGAAAGGCTAAATGCTTATGTAGACCCACATTAGGGAAGTAATAAGGTCATGGCTGCCAATGTGGGAAAATGTGCTCATCGTTTAGCTTTATTTACGCTGTTAATGGGATAGTATTGCTTCGTATGGGGTTTATTTTACAAACCCCTTTTAAAATGTAGCCTAAAGTAAGCCAGCCAGGTTCAGCAGTTTTTCTCTTGCAAGCTTTTTGCGCCTAATGTGTGGCTTATTCGATACGCTCTGGTGGGAGTTACAGCAGTAAATGGTGCGTTGTTTGTGGAATGGAGGTAGATGTTGCCAGTAAGAATTAGCAGTGGTTTTTCCACAGCGGGGAGCCAAAAGAATATGTGCTTTGCAGCTTAGCATTGTTATTCTTTCTCACTCTTAAACTTCTTTTTTTCAAAATAGATGTTCTGGTTTTGAATAAAGCAGTATTTGGGCAGATAAGTCAGGATTAAAATGTTGATTGTTATCATTTCCATGCAGAAAAATAGAACAGAGTGAGGCGTAAATCAGGAAATATAGTAATAACACTTGATAAGGACCACACTCAGTGTATTTACATGGAAAGGAACCTTTTTACTACCTTTGAGAAAAGCTATTGGCTACATCTCCCTCCTCAGACCTCCATAAGAGCACCATCTGGGTTTTTTTTTTTTCAAGTAAAAGGTCGCTGCTATATTTAAAGAAATTATTTATACAATATTCACAGGATATGCCAAGAACTGTCTTGTGCACATGGCCTGGTTCCTTTAGCCTTCCTCTTTCTTGAAACACACACACATAGACACACACACTGGCCCAATACAAGTATACATACAGTCTTTACATGCTCAACCTTTCACACCATCACAGCCATGGATAGTTGGCCAGACTTTATTTATTTATTTATTACCACAAAGCCTTTCCCTGAGTCTTGTTTAGCAATGTTTTACTCAGAGCTGCCAGATGTCTTTAAATTTTAAGACGGCTCTGCTGTGCTTAGGCCACGCAGCTACTTAGCTGACTTTAACACAGTCTGCCTTCCTTTTCTCCTTGCTTCTCTGTAACCTCAGCAAAGGCTCACAGTGGGTTGGAAAACCATGTGGGACAGTTTTGCACTGGCATCCCCATAAATCTGTGGGAGGCATGCTGCTCCTTGCAGGGCCACAGGGAGCCCCCCCAAAACAGCTTGCAGATAAATTAATTTAGATTAATTAATTAAAGTTTGACAAATTTAAATGTAGGGTGCCTTTGCATTTCAATTTCTGATTTCAAAAAACTTTTTTCCAGTACTTGGAAAGAAAATGTGATATTTTGTCACTTCAAGGGATCATCAAGGGTCTACAAAGGACGTCAGTCCAGGGATCATGTCTAGCCTCAGGGGCTAGAGCGAAGACTGAAGCTGCTGTTGTGTAGTATTCTTTACCATGTGAACCTGATATGTGGGCACATAATCCATACAGTGTCCCCAGACCCCCTTAGGACACAGCTTTGTGATGGCACCACCATTGATATACTGAAGATGAACGGCTTTGATGTGGCCACAATAATATTCAGGCATGTCATTCATGACTTTGTACCTCTAGAGAATCTCACTTTCACCTCCCTGCCTGAACCTCAATTCATTGCTAATTCAGACTTACCTTTGAAAAAAGCAATGCACTGGGGGAAGTGGATTTGTGGGTCAGTAAAAAGGAAGACAGAGGGATAAATTATCTCAGAAAGATACATAAACTTTAGAGTGACTTTACACCAGACTTCCTTGCACCACTTCAGTTTTACTACTTAAAGGAAACTGCTAACAAAAGCAACAGTAAAGGCATCACAGTGTAATATGGTCAGGAAATAAAGCTGCTTCTGTCATGACCTTGTCAAAACAAACATCTCCCCTGACATTTTGCCTCCTGTGCCATTTCCCCCAAAGTCACTTTGATTGAAAGTGCGGTTTAGCTCTCCCAAGAGGAACGTTAAAACTTCGGGATACACTTACTATGGAATTGCGAAACAGAGAGAAAAAAAAGGTATATAACAACAACTAAGTGGGATATATGTGTGTGTGTGTTTGTTTGAGCACATGTGCTGCTGTTGGGTACCATAAGATCACACCCACCGGACCATGTGATTGCCTGCTGGTTGATAGGCACACACACGTTGCTCAGTGGGAATGCTGGGAGACTAATGAGAATGCTATTTTACTGACTTATACACTGAAACATGCAACATGTAATCACTTTAAAGACATGTTTCTCTGAGTGAGGACGTCAAGCTGCTTTAAACAAATGTCTGATCTGTGACTGAGGGTGTGTAATTTGCGTGATGCTGGCGGGCAGAAGGCAATCTGAGTGGGAGAGTCATAGCGAAACAGCCGAAGAGAAGCAAAAAGGGTCTAAAAGCATCAATGAGCTGGACATTTATATCCTCCCCCTGCCACAGCCCTGTTCTTTCTATGGATGTTATCAATGCTGTTTACCCTGGGCTGTGAAGACTGCCTGATAATGGCTGGGTTATCTGCTCCTGCTCCTTTTTAGACCATCTGAGAGCTACCATCATTGTGCTGAGTGTTTAGACAGGAGAGATATCAGTGGGATGTCTGGTTTAAAACAAAAAGACAACTCAAATTAGGATTACTTCCTCCAAACTACCAGTGAATGAACTGCCAACCGGTTCATTCGCGTAACATGAAAGGATCACGCTTTTCCTTTAAACTCACCATTTACAGGTAGCAGCACAAGTTATATTTCTATAGGTACAATCTACATATTTACTTTGGTGTTACATAGGATATAGATACAGATAGACAGAAAGATGTAAATGTATGTTTTAAATAAACTGTCAGGATCTAAGTTCTCATTTAATATGGTTTCTTGTTACTAGAAATGTCCCACTTAAAGACTTCATCAGGTGCTTTTGTCACATTTGATATACTAATACAAAACGAAGGCAAAGGTTTGGGCTATAGAGCTTAAAAATTTGATATCACACTCACAATTTAAAAGGTAAAATTAATTCGAATATTTCAGGCTAAATGAGCCTTGGATAGGGTCACACAGATCACTTCTTGGCTCTGATTCACTCTTCTTTACCTACTTTTGTTAATTGAAAGGGTTACTTACTGAAGGGGTCGTCCTTGATTTTGGTTCCATTGACTTTTCCATTCTTATCGATCCTCAGGAAAAACCTCTGGAAAGAGAACAGCTTTCTCCTTCGTATGTCCCCTAGTAGATGATTGTAACTGCGCACATGCCTCCCCTGTGCTCCCCCAGTCCGACCCACAGGGCCCCCATTGGCTCTGGCTCTAGAGATCAGCTCAGCTTCAGAAATGTTCACTGGAGCTCTGAGAGTCCGTGGGCTGGAGACCCTATCTGTGTCACGGTGGAACTGATGGCAGGCAGCCTCATGCAGGGATAATAAAAAAACCAACAGGGTGACTAGTACAGGAAAAGCCGGGGTGATAAGCAATGCTGATGACCGTAGTCTGAAGGTGGCCCCAGAGCCTGAACGAGCCCCTAACCCAGCCCTGGAGCAGGACGAGGCAGAGGCAGCCTTACTCCCTCCAGCAGTCCATCTGATCATGGTAGTGTGCTGTGAGGAGGACTAGAGGCAGCCTCGGAGCTTGGGACATGCTGCTGGGGGTGAAGATTGCCTGAGAAGGCAGGGAGGGAAGCCCTCCACAGACCAGAGTGAAGGTGTCCCTGCACAGTGTCCAAACTATTCAGCGCAGGTATAAAAATGTCAAGATATCCTTCTGGGTGATTTTTTTTTTGATTATGTAATTTCAGTAAGTCTCTATTTTCCAAGCTGGTACTCCACTCCGTTCTCTTCTCCACTGCTGCAAGGTTTTATGCTGGTTATCAAAACTTCCAAGTCTGTTTTGGAAAACATCTCAGTCTAAATGAACAAAGATTAAAGAAAAAAAGAAAAGAAAGTGAAAAAAGCAGGCAGACTATGTGTGCATTCTGGTGAAAACCTGTTTTTGTTCCCCCTGCACTTTTCCACAGTTTTACTAATTCTTCTTAAATTGTTTGTGAACTTTTAACTCTTGCTCAAAGGGGCTCCGGTGTAAGCCTTTTAGTCCCAGACTGCTTTTCAACTTAACAAGAAAAAAAGATAAGAAAAAACTAATAAAAACAAATATCCAGTTGAGAAAATGTAATAGTATCCATGTAGAAAGGTATCTAAAATCTGGTAAAAGTCTTTAGTTCCACTGAAATTAAAAAAAAAAGAAAAAATGGTGCCACCACACCATTTACCTGTTCCAAGCTGCTAAACTCCACATGTGCAGGAAAACATTTCCAGATTTTACTCTGAGGACGAAAAACAGGATTCAAGACTTAAATAGGAAGGTTGGTCAGTCCAGGCGAATATCTGTCCTCTTTGGGTGCCCAGCTCCTCTCGCTCTCTCCTCATTTAGCTCTCTCTCTCTCTCTCTCTCTCTCTCTCTCTCCACCCCATGACTCCACCTTCACACAGCATCGAGGTAACGGTCTGGGGAGGTCTCTTTTTTTTTTTTGGCTGGATTGAGTCAGAATTTTTCACCTCTTCTACTTTATTTGAGAATTCCTCACTGAAGATTGATCACTGAAAAATGACTTTATGTCGTGTGTAGCTGTGTGTGACTCTTAGTTATTTGATCCCTCCTTCCTTTACTCAACCCCCCCACGCCCCTCCTCACATATGGGAACAAGTACTGGTCTGCATGTGTGTCGATGTGGTGCTTATGTACAAGCAAGTCTAACTTATGAGAGTGGGTGAGAGGTGATAAAGGGGGTTTACCTTCATAGATGCTACCAACCAGGAAGAAGCTGCCTGGTGGCGTTGGATCTTTCCCTACAGCTACAGATTACACTGGTGATTGGTTTATTGGTTAATGAAAGATCTGTCAGGAGTTTTTTTGTGTGTATTGGATGTAAAAAGGGGGCCTACAAAGGGCTGTATAATTGAGTGTGAAGCAGATAAGTATTACAAACTGAAAATGAATTCACTTGCTCCTCATTAAGGTGATAATCCTGACAAGTGTCCTTCCTCCTCTACAGATTAAAATCATATTAAGTTACAAGTCTGGATGCTGCCTTATCACTACCATCTTTCTAATGCCTCTCTTCTTCCTTCAAGGCACTTTATCGTAGAGTGTTATCTCCCCTGCAGTGCTGTAATGCAATGAAGTTCTCCAGTTTCACTCACCAGACCTCTATTCCTCTGTGACTCAGGTGTCATAGTGGACATCAGCCAACAAGACTGTCTTACGAAGCATTATTTGCTCCTAAAGGCAAGACAGGGACAGAATGGACAATGTCATAGTGGACTAGGCAACAATGTAGAATATGTGCAGTGAATGTGCAAAATATTAGGGACGGTCAGTCGTCTCACGAAGCACATCGATGCTGAAACTCCAGATCACAATATATCAGCTCAGCTTCAGTTACAAGTTTTGTTTGATTGTCTGTTGTGTGTGTTTTGGACATAAAATCAAAACTAGCTGAGCTTTTGCAGATTATTATGAGGTTAACCATTATCAAGGACCATAAAGTAGCATTTTAACAATCCAGCACGATAAACAAAATTTGCTGCTGGAACTCTTATCTATTTTCCCTGATCCTCTTCTTTTTAATGTCAGCATATTTCCTGGTCCCAGCTTTTTTTCCCTTAAGTCCTCAATTTTAGGGCCTGCTTTAATGTCTGTCAGCGGTCCATGGCCAGAGAAGCAGTTTGGCTTCAATTCTGGTCTTGGTTTTATCTGAGGTTGCAAACAAAACAGTGTTATCAGCAGTTCCTTTGTGGCGTCCGCTCCTTTTGTGATAACCTGAATCCACGTAGTGGACATAGGGGATCAAGGACATGTGCACAAATAATTCCATGTACATTTGCATATATCTACAATGTATTAAATTTAATGATGAATGAAAATGTTCCACTGATTGGCTCAAACAACTTAGAAGCACTTAAATGATGCAGAATATATGAATAAATACTGTATGTCCTGCTAATTAGACAATGACATACTAAATTTAAATGCTACCAAGGGGTAATATACAAGCTTGTAGATTATTTCACTTACAGCTAAGACCAGTTTTACACTTTATGCATTTAATAATCCCCCCCCAAAATTCACATTGAAAGCGTGCATTACATTTTCAAATGCTGTTAAACCTTTAGAGATGTAACAGTCTAAAACGCTGCAGAAATACCTACAGGTCTAACATGATTGTCATCTGTGGATGCCTCAGAGGGATGTAGGCTTCAAATGATGTTGACAGACTCATAAGATTTGGAGGATTTCTTTAGAGGCCAAGGAGCAAATTCTTTGTAAACACAACCATAACTGTCTTTTTCTTTTCCAGCTAAATGCAATATAAGTGAGATTTGCAGGGCCTGGAGACAGACTCATCTCTTCTCCTCGATCTACAGCTTTAGCATTTAGTTTTATCTTTATAGATCTATCTCCCCGAATTGCATTTCAAAGTTCAAGACAAAAAATAATAGAACAGACAAATGTTCTTCTGATCCTTCCCTACAGGCTGTAGCTCTAGCTCTGTTTTTACACTATTCTCAAAAGTAAAAACATAATTACAATAAAAGCAAATACCGGAAATTTAAACGCATTAGAGGAGATTTGATTTCACACAGCTCCAATTGCCAAAAAGCAAAATGAATCAAGGTGACACACATGGAAGAGATTCGTTTTATTGTTTTTACCATGTAATTGTAACATTTTCACATGATACGGCTCTTTTGTTTCTGCACTGACAAAGCACATCAGGTGGCTCTTTACTCTGATTTGTTTTAGATTTCACATTTAAAAATCGGGCCATACAACGGACAAGATGACACAATAATCACACTTGCTGATTATTCAGTGACCAACATTTGTACTAGAAAGAAAGCACAGAAACAGTATTACTTGTAGCTGCAATATTAGTACACTGGAGCAACATGGGCTTCAAAACAGAATATTTGTGTATCACAAGTAGACTTACTTTTGGAAGTGTTCTAGGTGAAACACTATTTGATATTTCAAAATGTTTCCCTTTTACTTTAAAAGGTTAATGCATTTTTATTTAAATTAGCATTCTGTGTTTACATTTTTGCGTATGTTTTCCTCTGAGCATGCACTTGGCAACAGTGGGAAAGAAAAGCTCCCTTTTAACAGTCAGAAACCTCCAGGAGAAGAAGCACAGGGATGCAATTGATACACATCAGTTAATCAGTTAATAAATAATTATATGTTTATGATTCTGAAAAGTACAATTCTCCATCCTGAGTATGTTTATTTGAGATAATATAAATACTGAATAGATTTTATATTTATATTATATTTTACAACTTGCACACTATTAAACTACTTAAATAGAATTCTGTCTTCTAGAAAGTAAAAAAAAAAATTGGAATACTTTTTTTCCACTTACCAAAACGTGCCTAAAGTCTGGCCACTTTACACATAATAAGTCTAGCAAAGTTTTTCTTTGCCAATTTTCTACTCTGATTTTATTTCTAATTAAATATTGTAATCATCTTTAAACAGCAATGTCAAACTCATTTTGGACCACAGGCCACAAACAGCTCACTTTGACCTTAAGTGTGCCAAACCAGTCAGTCTGTCAGTGTAAAGCAGTTTAATAAAAGAATAAATTAGCCCTTTATTATCAACAGTTCATTTCTCTTTTTCTACATGATAAAGAAATGCTGCTGTCGTAAATGGAAGAGATGTCAGCATGAATTTTAAATTGTAAGAAACAGACATGTTAAATTAAAGAAAAAGTTAAGGAAACTAATTTCCTATAGTGTCCTGACATAACAAAACTTATTAATTTACAGAAAATTCACTTTTTTTCTTTACTAGTGACCCCCTATAAAAAATTAGAAATTTCTACGAGCGATAGTAAAAAAAACAGGAATGTTTCTGCCATTTAAATATGTATCTATTAGAGGTGGGAATCACCATACATCCCACGATACGATATTATTGCAATTTTTTAAAATATTTTGCGATATTCAGATTCTGTACATAAAGGTAAACTTTATCAATATTCATTTTATCTAATATCAAAGTCTGCACTGTGTCTTTCTCTCATTTCAGTCAGTTTTACTGTTGACAAACTGAACGGTTTGTATTACAGTCTAGTCCAACTTAATTGAATGCAACCATCTGGTACAATTATAGCTATTTATGAAAACTATGCAGCCCCTTCAGCAACTGAAGAATTTGAAAGTAAATTAAAACAAAATATAATTTTACATTAAATAAAAAAAGTTTTAAACTTAATTAAAATAAAACATGTCTTAAATTAAAATAAGTAAACTGTCATGTTTATTGCTGCCAAAAAACAGTTAAACACATTTGGACAGTGAAGGAATGTCAGGATGCTTGCTCAGAAAAAGGATCAACATGCTCTGAAGCCAGAGCACAAAAAACTTTTTTTGTAACAAAATATCGATTTCTACTGTCCCTGTATCGATACATTATTAGCAAGCAAAATATCACGATACTACACAGTATCGATTTTTTCCCCCACCCCTAGTATCTATTACTTACTATAGTCTAGTATGAATGACCACAGGGTATGTGTTTATCAGGA